AGTTGCTATTCTATTAATGTTTTAAAAAATTATGTGGTTATGAAAATAGGTTTTTATGTTAAACTAATTATTCCAGTTTCTTTTACTTGTTTTCTTCATTTCGCATCGCATTGATCAAGATCATTTTTTTTTTTTTTTTTTCCATTTAATGTTTTTCAATAATGTATTGTGCTTAAAAAAATTAACTCTTACAAACAATGTAAGTGGTCTACCAAATTCTTACTTCAGTTGATTCTGGATCATTGGAAACTTGTTTATAAAGAGAAAGTACAATATAGTTTGTTGACATGGACCTAACTAAATCTACAGGATCTAGCTTTGAAAAACACTTTTTTTTTTTTTTTCTGCAAAAAAAAATATCAGGTCAGAAAAAGATCTTGAATTATATTGTTAACATTTCATAAACCTCCTCTATTTCTAATATTCACAAGGTTATTAGTATTATCTTCAATAACTCTGCAGGGCAGTAAAATTGAAACAGACTGTTGGTTATACTTACATAAGTTTTTGCTACTTTAAAATTTGATATACAACTTTTGAAAAATATATCCAATAAAATAATGTAAAATCTTTCTCTCTATATCAGTAATTTTATGAGCTTTATTTAGAAGTTCAACAAAATTTGGTTTTACACCAGTAAGATAGTTCAATATAAAAGAAGACATTTCAGTGAGTAGTGTATTACTTGAAGTTATATTGCTGAAGTTTGAAACTAGTAGATTTTCACTCAACAGTCCATAATACTCTTGCTTATGTATTAGACCAGCATGCTAAACTTTGTCAAAAGTTTTAGATATGTCAAGGTCAATAGCGCCTCTCCGCCTCCATCTAAACCGAAATAAAATCTTTCAATCACAGTAGTATGTTTAATAATTAGTTTCTTTAAGAAAAAAATTTACAGTAGTGGTTAAATGCTTTTTTTTACTACTTAATATTTTCTTAATAAACGTCTCATAAACAATATTAAAAAATAATTTATTTATTCCAAATTGAAAAGTTTTTGCTTAATGTAAAACTGCTAAACATGTACTTGCATTTTACATATGCAAATCACCATTTCGTACATAAAATGCGAGCTGAAGAACACTTTTTAACAAGGCCTGCACAGTATCTGTAAAATATTAATTTTGCAGAGTTTGCAATGTGTACATATGTGAATCTTACGAAACCATCTGAATTTTTTAAATTTTTAATTATATTAATTAGTTATAATATTATAATAAAAGTTTATTGGTTTAATTAGCTAAAAAATGCAGCATAATGGATATTTTACAGGTTCTGTGTTTATTCTTATCAAGGCAAAGCACTATTTTATAAATTAACCCATTAAACGTAGAAAGGCACTGATAGTTATAGAATACTAAAGCGTAATTAAACACAAACCAAGTTTTGCAAATTAGTTATATTTTAGTACAATTATTGCGCTTAACATTTTAGAAAACATTAAACATTTGATCTTCAAAGATATTTATGAAATCATTTTTTTCCTAATAATTTTGAAAAATAGTAATTAATAAAAAAATAAATGTATACATCTATTTGCTCATGACTCAACTTTTTATCTGTCTTAACAAAAAGTCTATGTATGTGTGTTTAAAGTATGTTTTTCTGATGAATCAACACTGGAAATATTGGTTAACAATTGCCACTATGTAAGAAGAAGACCAGGAGAATCTCTTCCACAGTGTCTGGTGCAAAAGGTCAAGATTTGCTTCAAATTTTGATCACTCAAAGATTTTATCAAAAAAACACAATCCTAAAAATTTCTGCTTGATTGGCTAATTCACTCAAATGTTATGATCGAACCAAAATTGGAAAAATTTGAGTATCTGTTTTTTTGATTTTAGACAGACCATAACTTTTTAAATAAAATAGGTGATTGCCTACAGTACAGTAATTGCAGGTTGTTTTTGACTGATTTTAGAGTTATTGTACACCATAGTCGCTAAAAATCACATTATTATGAAAAATTTACATATATTTTGCAGGCATAGAAATTAATGTAAACAGTTGAAATAAACTATGAAACTTTTTACTGTTGAAGTTCTATTCAGTGCTAATACAGTACTGGCCAAATTATTACAATAATTGATGAAAAACTTGATTTTTACACTTAAATTTAGTTTTCATTCCTCATTTTCAATATATAAGCTCAAATTTAGCAAACATACATGTACTGTGTATAATTTACTCATTGTACATATGTTTTCAGTAATTAGTTCAAATTTAAAAATTAATTTTTCTTGAGAGTATGGAAGTAATCAAACATATAGGCAACTTACCATTTTCCAGTCCACGTGGCAAATTGTTTGGCTGATAATAATCTTTTCTTCTTCATTGCAGTGGTCAATTTCGGTTTCTTTTTTAATCGATATGCCCTCAAACCAGCTTTAGTTAATCTTCTTCGTGCAGTCCTGCTACTCATCTGAACACCTAAAGTGTTCATTTCAACCATCAATCTGTGTGATGTCATCTCGCAGTTAGACTTAAAGAGTCTCACCAAAGCTCGATCATGTTACTAAGATATTTGCTTTTTTCCGTATTTTCCTTTATATTTTAAGTACCAATTGAGCCATGCTGCATGTTCTTTTTTATGCTTGACATGATGCTCTGAGTCAACACACATTTTAAAGCTGATAATCTGACATGTAAGCTCTGTATTCTTCAAGAGAACCTTAATCTGACTCCTTTTACGGGGAGATAAGTCACTTTTTTTATCCATTACTACTAAAGTAAATAAATGAAGCAATTAAACAATGAAGTTAATGTTAATTTGGTACATAAAATTGATGGTCTGGTTTTTCCTGCCTAATTGAAAATAATTGAAAAAAATAAATATTCACACCTAAGAACATTGCCAACAAATTTTTTAAATTTTCAAAGTACAAAGTCTATTATGCAGGTAACAGGCATGTCCCATAAATTATATAAAGTATAATACTTATTTAATATAATGCATTTTAATGACAAAAAGTACAATTATTTTTAGTAAATTTGGCCAGTACTTTAGGTAATCACTAAAAAAATAATCAAAAACCATTATCATATTACGTAGCCCTGTAACCTAGATTGTAGCCCTATAACCTAGGTGTATATTTTTAACTTTTCCCTGAATGAATACACTCAGTTTTCCTCAAATGATATAATCAGTGTTTAATTCAATTTATTTGATATGATATTGGAATATGTAATTAATTTTATGCATATAATTTATACATGATTATAATTTGAGTGTAAAACACTTTAGATTTAGATTTTAAAACATACAAAAATGGTTTTAATATCTTAAGTTTTAAGACTGTGTCTTTATTGGAAATATCTCCATTTAAAAATGTAAGTAAGTACAACAAATTAACATGTTGAAAAGGAAAAATTAAAAAACTGGGTACAAGTATGACAAACCTAGTAGCATAAGCATCAGACTCAAAAAATATAGTATCGGAAAAAGAGCAAAAGTTCATGAACTATAATGATTTAGACAAACCTTTTAGATGCAAAAAATAAAAAAGTATAGTTTATATAAAATAAGTTTGAAGGAAGAAAAAGTTCTGTTGGTTTAATTAACTCCTGATAGTCAGTTTAAAAAAATTCAGTTTAAGATCATCTTGTTAAACCTTTTTTGTATGTTTAAAATATTTATATAATATATTTTGTAAATATTTATATAAATATATTTTGTATTATCAAAATGCTAAGTTGGTTTGCACTGCTTTACTTAAAGGTTATTTAATATAAGATTTTATAAAATTATTTCTTTGTAATATAGATGGTCAAAGCTGCATGCCTCATCTATGTTCAAACTGTCCTGTTAACTAAATTTAAAGACTTACTCTCAAAATATGTTTGAAAAAGTTAATAATAATTTTGATTTTGACAAACAGATCACATACAAACTATTATTAACTGACCAAACTGCACTTGTCACAGTTTGATGTTAATGTTTATTAATAGAAATAAATAAATTTAAAGAACTAATAATGCATAATCATTTCGTGTTTTTTTTTTGTCTATTAGACAAAGTAATATGTCAAGTTAGGGCTCCATCCAGTTTAGAAGTGCTTGTGACTATAATCTTGCTAATGGTTATGATAATATTTCAATTAGTGATAATTAAATTAGTGTATTTGTGTTTCATGTGCATATATACTTCTTCTTTTAGCATTGTTTTATTTTTTATTTTAACTTTTTTGCAATGTAGTATAACTTGCGATATTTTATAGGTCTCCTTTTAATCCAAAAAAAACAACATCAAAAGGCTAAAAATATGTCATAAGATATAGTATAGGTCTTAATTTTTTTTTTTTTTTTTTTGCTAATGGTCTATATATTCTTTCTCAGTAAAAATTTTCATAATTTATTTCAACTGCTTATGCTATTTTCTAAGCCCGAAAAATAAATGTAGTTTATCAAATTTTACAAAAGAAGTGATATTTTAACAGGCTGCTCCAAATGTTTAACTAACTTTTAATGCATAATTACAGAAAGATTTAAATAATTTTCGATTTTGTTTTGGATCTATTTAAAGAGATTTTTTATTACAACCAAATTTAACAGGTGTAATAATTAATTTTTAAAGAATGTTTTCTTGATATTGAGACTCTGATAAGTTAAACAAAAAAGTAACAAATATTTAAGACCTTTCAAACTTGTGTCATTTTAATCAATACTTTTCGACATTAGGCACACGATTGTTAAAAGTTATACCTCAAAATGTGTCAGTCCGTTAAAATTATATTTAGGTCTACTAAATGTCACAAGATGGAAACTACTGTTTAAAAAAAGATAAAAATGATGGTATTTTTTTCCTAATATTTCTATTATTGATGTTTAAAAAATAATAATTATAAATGTTTTTAATATTTTTATTTTAAAAGAATTTAAAATGCTTTTAATATTATAATTTTAAAACCCTACCTGTTTATAACACATGTGTTTTATTTATTTTATTTTATTTTTTTGTACATAAAAAAATTACTAAATTTTTTTTTATTTTATTTTAGAAAACATTGCATTGAAAATGAAGGAAAATTTGATTTCTTAAAGGATTTAGTAGTAAATATCGCTGATATTGGAAATGCAGAAGAAGAGGATTCTAGTGAAGCTAATGAAAAACCAAAAAGGCAAGTGCTTAAATTATTATTTTTATTATTATTTAATACTACTTTATATCAAATTTTATTTTAAATTATTTTCATAGTTATAAAATTTGAAGTTGAATCCTATATTTATAGTTTTAACATTTAAAGTTAAATCCTATTTATAGGAAAAAAAAAGGAGACGGTGAAAGAAAAAAACGCAAAAAAGCTTCCTCATCAGATGAAGGAACAGATGGTGAAAATGTAAACATTTAAATACATTAAATAAAAATTTTTTCAATATTTTAATATTAACTGTATAATTTTTTTATTTGTATTATGCAATTATATTATTAAAAAAATATTTTTAAAATTGTAGGATGATGCTTCTCAACATAAAAAGCAAAAAATGCCAAGGGTTGTTCAGCCAAAAAGCAAGCAATCGCGTTCTTTAGACAGTGCTTTATCTCCAACAATATCTTTACAGTCTTCTTCATCTTCTATATCATTTTTTCAAAAAACAAGTAACCATTCAATTGAATCGATAATGAGTCGACCTCATACGCCTCAGCCTTGTATACCTTCACAATCTTCTATGCCAAAGTTATCTGGTCATACAGTTAGGTGAGAAAAAATTATTTAAAATAAATTTAATAAAAGCTATATATATATATATATATATATATATATATATATATATATATATATATATATATATATATATATATATATATATATATATAATTGAGAACGATTGTCTGTCTTCAATGCTTGTCATCATTTTTTGTTGCCAAGTCAAACAGTGTCATCAGGTTGTCTTTTTGAACATTTGTTTTTTAAATATGTAACTTTCATAAGCTTACCTTTTATTCATCTTTAGCAGGTAATTTAGTAGGTAACAGCTTTAACAGTTTTCTTCCACCAGAATAAATCCTCTGATGCCGAGCTGTTTGCTCCAAATTATGTTGAAATCTTTAATTGTTTTATTAATGTTGTCCTATTTATAGTAGGGTGTTTAAAGTGACATAAAAAGAGCCAGCAGATGAAATCACCATTTGAGGCCAATCTTGCTGAAGAGAATTATTTTATGTGGTGTTCCAGAAGAGCTACTCAGAAAAGTAAAACTAAAAATAATGTATAAACATCAAGAGAGTATTTGTCTGCATTTAAAAATTAATTTCTTAAATGAAATCAATAGTTTTTTGTTCAGGCATTTATGACTTATTATATATTGGAGTTAACAAAGTGTACAAAGTTAAAAAAAAACAATGACAGTCTAAAAATACAACTGCTGGTTGCCCACATTTACATTTTGTCAGGCATATTAAAATTGATTAAAGCTGTTTAACATTTAACTGTCAAAACAGACATCAAATCTGTAAATCCAAAATCTAAAATATCTAATTAGTTTTTTTTTTTATTTTTATTCTGATTCACTACCAATAAGGCTGCAAACAGCCACTATTAAGTTGGAAGCTACTAGAAAAAGAAAATAAAAGAATAAAATTACAGGCCTTGCGATGAATAAGAACTGCGCGACGCATAAGCACAACGCGATTTTTGACGTCATTAAATTCTTTTTATTTGCTTTTCATATTTATCGACATTAACTGCACCAATTTATTTAATTACCGCAAAACTACTTTAAATCGTTTATGTAGAAATGTTATTATTTAAAAATGTTTTGGAATGTTTCGTTTTTTAAAATGTAAAAACATTTGTTTATTTTCTCGACGTTTGTCACGTTTTGTCTATACTAAACGAATAAAAAACATTATAACTTAAATTTAAAAAAGATTATAAAATATGCTAATATTTGATTTTTTTTTAAATATGTAATTTAAAGTTTTTCAAATAATTATTTTTTCTTTTTAAAAAGTCAGCGAGTAATAAACTGGAAATTTTAATATTGTACGATTAAAAACTGTGCAATAGCTAATATTTTTACAAGCGATTTTATATAATATTTATTTATTTTTATTTATTTTCATAAAGCGGTTTACAAGCGATTTTATATAATATTTATTTATTTATTTTTATTTATTTTCATAAAACTTAAACGAACGTTTTGAATAGATTTTTAATGTTAACAAGGAATTTTATTTCTATTAAAATAAAATAAAATGTTAGAATAAAAATCTTATAGGTATAAAAGAAATATTTCAGCGAAAAAATTATTCTTAAAAATTATTCTTAAAAATTATTCGAAAAACTATTGACGTTCTATTTTTCCGCAGCTGTTCTTGAGCACGCTTCGATGAGTTTCGGTAACTTTTAACATAAAAGCGATCGTTATTATTTAAGTAATTTTTTTGAGTTACTTTTTACAAAAATTTTAATAACTGTACTTTTTTATTGAATCAAGTAGAATACGTTTTGATATTAATCTTTTTTTTTTTTTATTTGCCCTCACCAATTTTTAAAATGTTTCCTCGAAATCACTCTTAAATACTTTAAACACGTCTAACAGTTAATAAATATTTTTAAATCTATGGAATAATTTTAAAACCTATCAAACCCCTTGTAAAATAATTATTTAAGTTTAAAATCTAAAACTAAAAGAAAGTATTTTTGTTCAATTTTATCGACAACGTTGCTATTGCTGAATAATTTTATTAAAATGTTAGCTTAAAAGATTTAAACTTTTTTTTTAATTTTTGAATTTTTTCTACTTGTAAATAATGAGCATATTTAATTTTTTTAAATTCAAACTTTTATTTCAACTGCGTGCGGTTTTTAAAATACTTTATTAAATGTTAAAATAATCGTAAATTCCTTCATTAAAATTCCGCTCAAAAATATCTTTAAATATACTCAAACAAAAATTTTTTTGCTCGACGCAAATAGCCCTAGCTACACGCAAAATCGCCCTTGGACGACGTAAAATTCACATCGCCCGACGCTTTATCGCAAGGCCTGAAATTATAGAACAAGGAAACGGTTGACAGAAGACTTATGAAGTTGTAGGTATCATGAATCAGGAAAATATGAAGACAGGAGAATTTTCCTAAGGGTTAAAGTGTGCGGAAAAAAACTAGATAAATAAAAGTTTTCAGAGCATGCAAAGACATACAGTAAACGAATAAGACTTAGCTGAATGGCGAATCCAGTGGGAATGAGATCTAGTTGATGGAATTAGAGATAATAGCTCCTTTAAGCAGTGACCATGATAGTATTTGTAGAAAAGAGAAAGAGACACAACGTTATGACTATGGAAAAAAAGGCCCAAGCATAGCAGATAAAGTGGGTACCCGCTCTATCTACTATATTTACAATACATTTTTGGACCCCTTCTAGAAGAGAAAGAGTATCATTAGAAGAACCAGCCAAAATATGAAAACAGTATTCCGTACAGGGATGAATAATATTTTTAGAGATTGAAAATGGAGTCAGAAGTAAATTATTGTCAAGTACGATAAAGAAAAGCAACCTTGGCAGATGCTAGTTTAGTAATCAACTGTATATTTGGTTTTCATAAGAGGTCAGTTGTGAACAATAATCCAAAAAGACTCAGTGAGAGGGTTACCATTAATTAATATAGGAATGCCAGCAGTACTGCAAGAATTGTTTGCAGTAAATAACTGCGTTTTGTTGGACTTTACAAGCCACTGCTCACAGTGGTTTGTAAAGTCCAATCTGTTGAAGAAGTCAGGTCAGAATCAAGATTATCTGCTTGTTCTAAGCAATCAAAGAGAGAAAACTTTTTGTCAAGACAGGAGTATAAAGAGTCATCAGCAAAAAGAGCTACTTTTGATGAAGGTTGTCAGGAAGATCAATAATGTAGATAAGAAACAAAACAGGACCAAGGATAGAACCTTGAGGTACCCCAGAAGTTACTGGAAAAGAGTGTTTGCTTTTAAGGATGACTTTGATTAAGCGGTTAGAAAGAAACAATTTGACAATTACTAAAACTTTCCCAGATATACCATATAAAGCAAGCTTATGAAAAAGACCAGCATGCCAAACTTTGTCCAAAGTTTTAGATATGTCAAGAGCAATTACCTGAGATGCTCCGCCTCCAACTAATGATCAATAAATTACTTCAATCACAGCAGTTAGCAAGTCAGTCGTAGAGTTAGAGGATCAAAAACGGTATTGACTTAAAGTAAGTTATTTGACTCAAGATGTGGTGTGAAAAATTTCTTGATCAAAGACGTTGCTAATAACAGAAAGAAGACTGATCTGAAGATAATTGGAGGGGCCATAATGTTCTTCGGAGTTTTTAAAAATTGGAACAACAGATGCCATTTTCAAGCAGGCATGAAAACAAAACTCAGTCAAGCACTTATTAAATAGTTTAGAAAGAATAGAGTTCAGGAAAACAATTTTTTAAGACATGGTAACATAAATGTTACCATGATCATAAGCTGTAGAAAAGTTTAACTAAGGTATGAGTTTAGCAACAGAAGCTGGAGTGATTTGAATGTCTAACAATTGGTTAATCTGTTTAACTGGAATAGAAAGAAGAGGATGGCAGTAAGATTCAACAGTTGAATCAGTCAATGAGTAAGAGATAAAATGTTAGACCTACCCTTGTTCTTACCCTTGTTAATGACTTTGTTAAAGATTTTTCAAAAGTCTCTTGGGCCTAACTTCTGAGATAATATTTAGTGATATTTACAAGATTTAGTGAACTGAAAATAATGGAGCTTAGCATCAGAAAACACCTTTCTACACCAATTTCTTGCAATAATAGTTACCCTTAGTTCTCAAGAGAGTTGCGCTTTTGAAAAAGATGAAAAAAAAATTTTGCAATTAGATTAGGCTGCACAAGAAGGTGAGAACCATGGAGTAGAATCAGGCTTGACTTGGAACCAACTAGAAGGAATAAAAGCTTCCATTCCTGCCTGAATTTGGGAGGTTACATAGGAGAGAGATTTATCTACTGAGAGAGAAAAGACATCAGCCCAAGAACCGTCACTTAAAAAAAATTGGGAAAAAAATCCCAGTCAGCTTTAGGGTAGTAGTAAGTAGTGCAATGATAAAGTGAGTCCAAATTAGATGTATGAGATGAAAGATTTATAAAGATTATTGCATTCTCAGAACCACATAAAGGAAAACAAAGAGATACTGAACACAAGCTAGGTTCAGAGACAAGACACAAATCAATCTAAAAAAATTAAATATTGTATCTTAATTATAATTGATGATATTTTTACATATCTTATTTTGCTTTGCCGGACGAAAATATGTTTATTTGTTGGTTTTATCATCAGTATTATAATACTTTAACATCGGTATTATATTACTTCAACATCGGTATTATATTACTTTAACATCAGTATTATATTACTTAAATATCAGTATTTTATTACTTCAACATTAGTATTATATTACTTCAACATCGGTATTATATTACTTCAACTTTAAATATCATTTTCTAAGTATCAGTAAAAAAGCATTTTTAAATATTGTTATTGTTTACCGGCTCTGAGGCGTAACGTATTGTTAACTATATAATTAAAAAGGAATGTTAATATTCTATTCTAGATCTATAAAAAATTTGATTGTTTCATTCTATTCCATTTTTATTCGATTACAGCATGTGACTCGCATCAAATTATTAGTAAAACAGTTATAAAATCTGAAAAATGAAAATGAATTTGAATTCAAATTTAAATTTTTTTTATTATAATCTAACTTAGTTTGTTAAGTTATAATTTAAATATTAAATATAGTGCAATTATTTAAGCATTTAGTGCAGCTATTGCTTATAACTACAATCTGTTATAAAAACAATAACAGAGTAAGTGAATATTACAAACTGTTATAAATAAAATTTAACTCTTTATTTAATTAATTACACGCAAATATAAAAAGTTAAATAAAAATGTTCTGCTTCTTTTATGACTATCTTGACTTAGGGTTAATACCATAAAAAAGTTATTAAAATCAAAACTTAAAAACTAAAAGTACCGAACTCTAATTTTTTTCATTAGTCCAAACATAAGTCCAAAATCATGTTTGGAAAACCAGCGAGAGACAGAGATATAGGAAGAGCATCGGAATCTGGTGCATCGATAATAAAAGAAAGACTGAAACAGAGAAATCAAACCAAGCTATGAGTTCCAGTATGATGAAATTTCTTAAGAAACCCTTTTTTAACTGCTACTGCTCAAGAGTCCTCTGATGAATCTCTTGGCCAAGTTTATTTGGTTTCTGAAACAGAACCAGCTTCAAAGTTGAATGTATCTGCTTTGACCCAAGAGTTTGAACACAATAAAGATTTGGGAAATTATAAAATTTGTGACTCAGTAAATCAAGAGCAAGCAATTCTTTGAATGATTCATTTATAAATTTAGATGCTGGAAAAATGGATATTTCCAAAAACTAATTCTCAGCATTATGACTTAATTCAAAATATAGAGAAATCTGATGAAAGTTACCCCAAAGACGCAAATAACAGATATTTTTTAAAAACTCAACACCGCAGATGATTAGTTTACTCCTTGTCAAAAGACACAGTTTATAGCTTTCCTTGTAGACTTTTTTCGCATACACAGACTCAGATGGTGAAAGAAGGATGTTGTGACTGGTAAGATCTGAGTTGGATATTGCATAGACTTAAAAAAGAAATCTCGAAAATATTGGTAATTTGTTTGAAAGATTGGTATAATAAACTTTTTAGCCTTGCACAATCTGGCATTTAGAGGTCATCACAAATCACTTAACCTGGACAATAGCAGAAACAGTGGTAACTTTATAGACTTATTTAAGTTGTTATCCTAATATGATCTGATACTATTGCCGTTGCATAAACTAATGGAGAGTATTTAGCAAACTCCATATTACAAGAACTTGAGAGAAATGGTCTGGACAAAATTGTGGATATGATAATGGCACCAATAGGGTAGGCATAAATAAAGGTGTCAGAACAAGAATACTCAACATTAATTCAAGAGCATTCTTCACACTGTTGCGATGTCATAATTGGAATTTACTTTTAATAGATGCAGCTAATTCTTCTACAACAGCTAAAACGTTTTTCTGCTTTATTATTAAAATCTATATACTTTTTTCAAAGTCAAACAAGCGCTGGTTTTCTACTCTCCCACTGTTTCTTTTCAGAGACACAGTGGGAGAGTAGAATGAAAGCATTAAAAGCTATACTTTTGCAATTTTGATAATGTTATCAAATGTGTGAATGACTTGAAAATTAAACGGACTATTTGGATACGCAAAGCAGTTTTAAAGGAAATGTTAACTTTTGAATTTATTGTTGCACGTTAAACAAGTGCGGTATGAGATTTTATTACATGTAAATAATAAGTAAATAATAATTATTAAGTACAATACTGTGATCCACAGTATCAAATACCTTGGTTCGGCAAGTTAATTATCGGTAATGTTACTAACCGATAAGTTACCGGTAACTTAATTTTAGTTACCGATTATTTCCACACAGATCTACGCAAGTGCGTAAAATACTAAAATATCTATTTAATTGGATGTTCTTATACCACTTGTTGGTAATATTGCAGAATATTAGACTATAATAAGGGGTTCGATAAATTATTGTTTTGCAGTAAATTCTGGTAGTCAAGTGTTAAGATAATAATAAAAATTATACAATAATTTTATTTAGATTACAAATTTTGCATGTTTTTGCAAACCCTAGGATTAAAAAATGTTGTAGGTTTTTGCATACCCTAAAACTATGAGTACTAAAGACCTGAACAAAATGTAAATAAGAAAAAATAATAAACTACTTTAAATCAAATTTAGATAAAAAAATATTATATAATAACATCCAAGGTATTTGATACTGTGGATCACAGTATTGTACTTAATAATTATTATTTACTTATTATTTTCATGTAATAAAATCTCATACCGCATGTGTATAATGTGTAACAATAAATTCAAAAGTTAACATTTCGTTCAAAACTGCTTTGCAGTCGCTTAGAGTTTCCGAATAGTCTGTTTTAATTTTCATTAAAACAGACTATTCGGAAACTCTAAGCGACAAGTCATTCACACATTCGATAACATTATCAAATTACAAGATACACTAAAAAAAAATAGTGTTATGAGAACATTAAATTTGTGCAAACATGCAAAAAATAGTGGCTAAAACAATAATGATAGAGTATACTTATGATATCAATGTGATTGAAAATTAGATGAATAATGTTGCTTCTAGGGATGAGCTAAATGATTTTGCTCTTAGGGATGAGCAATATAATATTGCTGCTCAGGATGACTTAAATAATATTGCTCTTAGGGATGAGCTAAATGATATTACTCCTAGGGATGAGCTAAATAATATCATGTAAATAATACTAATAAAATCTTATAATTATTATATTATCTTCAGGAAGGGGTGGTAATTATATTATTTATTATATTCTTTTTTTAATAATTTAATGTTTTGTATTTGTATATATATTTTTTTAATTTACAACATAATTTTGTTTAATAGTCATATAAAAAATACAAATAATAAATAAATTTAATTAAAGATTTGTAATAAACTTATTAAATTAAGTTTACATGTAATAAAATTTTTTTGCATAAATAATAACGTAAACTATGGCAATCAATTCCAGTAAACTTAAAAGTTGCTGTTGATACTTTTTGTTCTTTTTGTACTTGGATTCAAGAATTCCATAATACTGGATTTGATAAAAGTGTTGCAGATGCTTGATTGTTTGTGCAAGAAAACGCTTACAAAATTGAGTCACAATTTAAAGAAAAAAATTAAAACTGATTAAGATCATCTTAAGAAGCACGCTAAGCCAAGAAAGACTACTTTATCCATTTTGTCCATTGAAATAGCAGCGGGTGTTAGTTATGACACAATTTTAAAAAGATTCAGCGAGGCTAAAAGCTGAAAAGTTTTTTGATTTGTGTTTTTTTTTTCAATTTGTGTTTGTTTATGTATTTATTGTTATTAATTTTTGTCATAATTAGCAGTAACACTTATATGCTCCTCCTAAATTTATCAATCTAAATTTTTAAACTTATAATGAATGCTAATATTTAAATATTAAAAACAAATAAGTGAGAATACCTATATCAAAATTATGTTTAAAATAATTAACAATAACAGCTCTGACTTGTGTTAATAACTTTCAATAAAATATAGTGCTCAATAAAAATTCAAGCCCAGAGATTAGGTCAAATCAAGGTTTGTCAGGCCTCGCAAAGCTAATTTTGCCAACATCCATGATTTGCCTAGTGCCGCCACTGTCACCAATAACAACAATATTGGCAGAAGGGTAAAGAGATAGGGCGTGGTCAATTTGATCAGAAATAACATCTAAAAGAGTGCAGTCACAGGTAGAAGGAGAATGCTAAAGAACAACAAAAAGCTGATAGAGTGAAGAGGTGCTAAGCAGAAGCACGTAAAAGAATGGTCAAAGGATTCAAACCTGATTTCATGACAAATAGGTAAATTGATGCGTATGTATACCCCCAAACATTCGACTATTATAATCTTTGCAAATCTAAAGTACCCGTCAACACTAAGATCTGAAGAAGGAATTGCTGAATTTAAATAAGTCTCACTAAGAGCAAGCAAGTTCATTAAATTTTGCAAGAAGTAAGATTCAACTAATAGAAGTTTGCTTTGCAGACCACAGATATTTTAAAAGATATATTAAAACAGTTAGGTGGTGGGGGTGGTTTATTATGTGTTAAATATTTTTGGTAATCTTTAACTCAAAGAATAAAGAGTTATTACCCTCTAGGAAAGGTTACTGATTAACGTGACTAGTGCTGATTGCCAATCTTTTGGATGCCAGATCTAAATAGATGTGCATAAATTATTTTTTAGATTTTATTAAGGATGCTTACTCTTTATATTGTTTTGTCATTAAATGTGATTAGCCTTCATCTACAGCTTTATTAAAGTTCACATTGAATTTTTTTTTATAAAGATTAAAAAAAAAATAAGCATAAAAGTTTTTAAAATGCTTGATTATGACTTTGTTTAATTTGACTTAAAAAAAAAATTTCATTTTTTTTTTATCAAATTAATTAAGTTTATGGATCAAATTAAAATCAAGTTTATCAAATTAAAAATCATTTTTAACAATAACAATAAAAATATGTAAATAAAAATATTTTCAGTATATAAGTTTTTATGATAGAATTATATTAATAAGGCGTTTATCACTGACTAAAGATTGCATATTTAGTAATATTTTAGAACTTATATTTAGTTTGTTTTATTTAAATTTTTGCTAGTTTATAGATATTTACTAAAGAACTGTCTCTTAGTGAAAGCATTATTTTACCCTTGTTTTAACTGACAGTCTACTCTTAGTACCCGCGCCTCTCAGTTTGCGTTTTTATTGTTTCCTTGATTGTTTTTATTTAATCACGATTTTTGAAATCAATTTTTTTCTTCAATGAATATTTTTTTCATCTATATATTTTCTTTATCTATTTATTTTTATTCTATTATTTATGTCTTTAATGTGTAACAATTTACGCTTATTTTGTTAATTTGTTTTTGAATTTTTTTAGCGCGTTACCAGCAATTATGAAACTACCATTATCACAAAGAGTTGACGATGAAGACGATGATTATGACGTTTAAAGTCTTGTATATAATATATAATTGAAAGTGGATATTGCTCTATGAACAGTAAATTGCAATATGTGAAACTTGTACATTTGTAGAATATATCTACACCAATTGTTTTGTCGAAAGATAAATCATTTTAGTTTTCTTTTGTTTTATTGTTTCATAGTCAAGTTAATCGCGAACGCAAGTAATTACGTTAAAAACATTTTCTATTGAATGCTCTTGAAATAATGAGTACATGCTAGCAACGATCGCGACCTGCGCAAATTCAAACAATAATTCGATACTCACAATAATTGGCTGCGATACTAAGGGCAAAAGATTATTTAGATTATAAAAGCCATTTCGTTAATTGAGCGCATTAAGGGGCAACTACCCTCAAATTTCAAAACAACACATATAAAGTAACTTTTTCTTTAGTCATATAGTAAATATTATACTGACATTAAAAATACCAAAAAATACATAAAATAATAGCTCGTTGCTATGGCAACTCAAAAATAGCTAAAAAAAACCCACAAAAACTGTGTTTATGCCGTAAAAAAAATAAGAATTATGAGTAAAGGAGTGTCAATGAAATTTTGTAGAACTGTTCTAAATATGTAAATTTGTGATATGAGCGAAGCAGATTTTTGAATAAAAATTTTTTTTGATAAAAAGCTACAGTCAAATTAGATTATTAAAAAAAAGGTCAAAATACAAAAAAAAAAACTCAAAATCTTAAGTCATATGAGAAATTCTACTCCGCTCATATCATAAACATTGGTAAAATGAACGATCCCTGAAAATTTCATCATGATAGCATGTATACTTTTCAAGATTTTTTTCCCGGCGTGTTTAAAAATTAAATTCTCAGAAAACACAAAACAAAAAATAAAATCATAAATTATTGTTCATTTCATAAAAATATCTTTAAAAAAATAACTTTTTAAAAGAATATTTCAAAAACTATCAGACTCATAATATTCCTTGGACTTTTCTATTGACTTTTGATGATCATCCTTTGATAATCGTTGACGTCGTAACATCTTTCGTTTCATCTTAAAACTTTCACTCGATTTAAATAATAATAGTTTTATTCGTTTTTTGTTTATGAGTCTGCAACCAGCTAAAGTAAAATGCCCTGGTTTCATATTTAGTTTTTCATAAATTAAAATGACAGACTTCATACCGATGTTATAATTTGCAACAGCATCGTACACTCCAAACTCTAAACTGGCTAAACCAACATAATTACTTTTTGGTAATCTATCCCATAATAAATTATTAAAACTCAATTCAAAATCTTTACTTAAATCAGCATATATTGGCTTGATTTTGTGAATAATATTCGCAGGAATTCCTGGTCCAGGTTTGTATATGGAAGTAGACTTAGCTTTATCAATGTTAAACTTACACCAACTATCACCTCCAGTCGGGCAGTAAATATGATAGTTATTTTCCTTAGAAGAAGCTACATGGAAAAGGCTAGCTAATACTGCTTGTTTCATTTTATTCAGATCATTTGTATTGCTTCGGATAGCTACACCAAAAAATTTTTGCAAGCGATCAATAACTGCATTGGTTAGTCGACCACGACCACCTAGACCCTTAACATTTTTTTTTTAACTTGCGTAAGCAAGTACCGACTCATTTTTGGTAATGTCCTACACACTCCAACTTTTTTACCTCCATATTTGGGTATATATCTTTGATAGAAAAATGGGATTTACTATCCCCATCACCAAGAAATTGAGTATATTTTAACTTGTGTTTTTCGATTGAGCGTTTAAACACTCTCACTGCGCCAACTGATTCCATACCACCAGCTGTACCTTGATAATTGTGCAGGCAAATATGTTTGTTTTTCCAATTAGCATATGCATCAGGATTTGATTTTTTTAATTGTTCTTTCATACAGCAAGCTTTACATGATTTATTCATAGGTTCAATATCGATTATTTTTCCACTATCTATTAAAATTGCGGTAAAAACTCCATTCATTGACTGATATCCTCTTTTCTGCCATGTTCCATCGCATGATACACCAACATCAACAATGTCCTCACTAGTTGCATTTTCTTTCATTTCAGTTGCAGCATTTGACATTGTTTCGTTTGCAACACTTTTCACAATGTTTTTTATTTTAGTTGTAATTTTTGAACAGTTTTTAAGTGTCATGGGTTTCGGCATATTTATGAACTGAGTAAACTTTTTAATGCCAGTATTTTTTTTTTTTTTTTTTTTTTTTTTTTTTTTTGCTGTTTAACAAATATAATCAACACATATATATGCAAGAAAGAAAGAAATATGTCCGTATAACAAAGAAGACAGTAAAATCTTGTCAACAAGCACCGTTTTTGTATATACAGTATATAAAATAAACTATACTTTTTTACAATGATCTTTATAAAATAAAGAGTTAAACAGACAGGGGCTCAAAGAAGATGAAGATGACAAAACGCAATCTTTTCATAGAGCCCCCTATATACATTTTCATTAGGTTATGGATATTAAATTAAATTAAAAACCCTAATGGGCATAAAACTGCTGCGCTGATCAATAAAAACAAATAAATAAGATTATAAAGAAAATTACTTTGTAATCCTTTTAAGCACAAATAATAATCAAATTTTAAAAATTTCTTTTTTTATCAGAAACTTAAATGAACTTAATGACTTTGCCATACAGTTGGATCCTTTTTGATATCTATTCCATATATTTGGCCCCCGATATGCAATGCTATATTCAGTATATTTATTAAGGTTTTGAGGCAGTTTATATGTGTTACTTATATTTGCTCTTAGGTAGTAGTTTTCATTTATGTTTATTTCAAACTTGTTAGTAAAGTTTGTAGGAGAGAGATTATTATTAAATTGATACATAAAAATTAAATGCTGATAGATATTTATTTCAAAAACATCCATCATTTTCATATCTTTCATTAAAGGTTTTGCATGCTCCCACTTATTTTTAAAGTAAATGATTCTGCATGCGTGTTTTTGTAGACTATAGATTTTTTTAAGTTTTTGATGGCTGAGTACTTGCCCATGATATGTTTGCATAGCTGATAAAGCAATGAATTAGTCCAAAGTAAATTAGTTTTAGACTTTGTTTATTGATATATGAGCGAACTCTATACATCATACCAATTATATTACTGATTTTAGATTGAATATATCTTATTTGAGGAAGCCAGGATAGCTTCTCATCAACAAGAACTCCTAAGAATCCTGGCTTGTTTTTTAATAAAGTTATCATTTAGGATAAGGTCAGGCAACTTAAGAGGAAGGTTTTCTTCTTGCGCCTTTTTATGGAATAATATATATTTTGTTTTCTCTGAGTTAAGCGAGAGTTTGTTAGCTCTAAACCAATTATTTACTTTAATTAGTTCGATATTCATGTCTGCATATAGATTCTTGATATCACTGTTAGTAAGAAATAGATTTGTATCGTCAGCAAACATGACTGAATTTAGTTTTAAAGATGCATTGCAAAAATCATTTATATAAATTAGAAACAGAAGTGGACCAAGGGTAGATTCTTTGGGAACTCCACATAAAACATTTAATACTCCAGATTGTATATTGCACACATATTGTTTTCTATTGGTAAGATAACTTTTAATCCAATTGTAAGTTTTATTAATTATACCATAGTATTTTAGTTTATCTAATAGGATGCAGTGGTCAACTGTATCAAAAGCTTTTGATAAGTCAATAAAAACTCCTAAAGTAAATTTGTTTTGATTAAAACCATCGGTTATTTGATTAACTAATTCAATAATTGCATGCTCTGTTGAAAGGTTTTTTTGAAATCCAAACTGGTTTGGGTAAAATAATTTGTTTTTGGTAAAGTGATTATAGATTCTATTATAAATTACACGTTCGAAGAGTTTTGAAAAAACAGAAAGTATTGATATAGGTCTAAATGACCGTGGCCTAAGACTCTCATTGCATATATTGTCCTGTTGTTAATATCAAACCCTTTATCACAAGCAACTGATGTATAAAATTCATGTTTATAGTCACAAGATAGTGTAGTACACTTTAAGTATAGCAACGTTGCTTGACCTTTCTTTTTTTTCTGATGATCACCTAAGTACAGTGCACACTTTTCACATTGAGGACACATTAACAATGAAAGAACTTTAGATAAAATTTCAGTGTCTATAATTCTGTAACCAGTAATTCTTTTAATGTTTTTACTTGGTACATTTGTAACAACTTTTACTTTTTTAGCTGATGCGCCTAAAATATTTCTTTCAATAGAGTCACATTCACTTACATTACATGCATTTTTATTTTTCTTCACCGTAAATCCTCTTCTTTTTTTGTAGTAATTTGTTCTCTGCTTTACTCTATCATTAATATTTTTGTTCAAAATAACACCCAAATCAGTAGGTTTTGTCATATTTTTTAATTTCTGTTTTTATATAAAATAGCTTTGATAACTTGATAAAATCGTATTAAAGTAGCAATTGTAAATGGCATATAATAAGGAACAGAATATTAATTAGCAAAGAAGATATAAATCAAAGCATATATTTGAAACAGTACTCCAGGATAAGTTCACAAACAAAATATTCGCCCCCATAGCAACGCGTTGCTATGCAAATATTTTTTACTTGAGTTCAAAAAAACATAAATTAAACAAAAATTTATAAAAAAATGTTTGATTTTTTTTGCAGATTCAAAATCTGCATAAAATTTTGACCTAAAATTATTTAAAAAAAAAAATCAAATTTTTAAAAAAATGTGAGGGTAGTTGCCCCTTAATTTCTGTTTTTGGGCTTTCTATATATGTAGTTATCATTTAATTACCTTTTAATTTTGATAAAGAATTATAAAAAAAATGGATAAGTGTTATACAAAATCTTCTATTTCTTATCCGAATTTGAATAGCCAATTAATCCGTCTTATAAAATAAGTTCACTTTTGTAAACATTGCAGAACGGGTATAAGTATGAAGCACTCTGGAAACGCATTTGCTGTTCAACCCAACTAGGATATATCACCAGCAGGAACTAGGAAAGTTGTTAGTTTTCATTATTTCAGGAATTATCTTTTTCTGGATATATTTTTTTCAACTTTTAGTTTTTCCGGATATATAAAACATTTTCCATAAGTACAAGTTTAGGTGCATATTTTTGTAATATATTTGTT